ATCAAAATTGTTGTGGCCTGCCAGCAGAGCTGATGGCAGACTCAGACAGTGAGGAGGGTTGGGGAGGAACCTGGGCCAGTCCTGGAGTCTGGGGAAGGCTTGAATGAAGGCTCTGCATCGGAGGCAGAGAGGGGGCCAGAGCCGTATGCCCAGTTATCAGCTGCCTTCAGAGTCAGACTTCAGTGAGGCAGAAGAACAGCTGGAGCTTATTCCCAGTGTGTGCATGCACAGAGGTGCCAGATGAAGGGAGCAGCTAAAGAACAGGGGTTGATTTGGGAGTAAGGCCACAGGTGGATGGTGAATGGCCCCTCCCAGAGGGAATAAAAGAGCGAAAGGGGAGTGGAGTTTGCAGGAGACAATTAGTTCGCTTCATTGGCTTTTGACTCTCCTTGCCAAGTTCTGTAGATCTCGGCCTGGCAGCTATCCAAGCCAGATAAGGTCTGTGACTGTAAATCCTCCCATGAAAGACTTTGCTGGATGTCAATGAGCAGAATTCACAGCAAATTATTAAAAGGAGTTTTTGTCGGGACCAGGAGTTTGCTTTATGCTCTTGGGAAGCCTTGGTCAGAACATTAATAGAGAATCCCCTTCTCTAACCAGCCTAGAAGAGTGGAGCCCACAGCCAATCTTCCTTTTTGCAAAAGGGATTTTTCCCCTCAATTCTTTTTCCGTGGCTCAGCTGCATCATCAGTGATGTTTGCCTTTTCTCTTTTATGCAATTTTTTAAAAAGATTATTTTCTTTTCTTTCTAGGCGCAGGTTCTTCTGCCCTAAAGAGGCCTTTCGAAGACGGATTGGGGGATGAGAAAGACCCCAGTAAGAAAATGAAGAGGAATTTGAGGAAAAGTAAGGATGATTATTTCTTCTCCTTCCCTTTCATTACCGCCATGTATGTTGGTTTTTTTAATTTCTAAGCTGCCCTTCATTCATCTCTGCTCCACTGTCAGCTAACTCTTGCCGTGGGGAATTTGTGGTCCTTGTTTAGTGACTGCCTCGTTTAGCCACTGTTTACAGTTAACGACAGTGAGGAAAAAGTCGCTGGCTTTTTACGACTAGTTTACAACACAAAGGAAAGTTGGAAGTAAGACTGTGGCCTGGTTTCACTGAGCAATTGCTTCGCTTAACAACCGAGTTCCCTACCCCAATTGTGGTCACTAAACAGCCCTTTACATATTTGCCTAGCAACAGCTGCAAATTCTGCGTCTTGAATCGGCCAGAATCAGCACTGATTTCACTCTAGTAAACAAATGAAACTAGAATACCCCAATTTTCTCTGTGTAAAGATTACTGGATTCTTTTTTTACAAACATCAGCCTAGTCAATTTTGGATTGGGATAAAATCTCTGCTTGCTTTTTTTTTTTTTGGCAAGTGCTGGGTGTTAACCTTTCAAACAAATTCCAAACGTTACCTGAGAGCTGGCTTAAGAGAATTAAATTTAACAAATCAATAGATTAGATGAATGTGAAAGAAACGGAAGGAAAGAAGGAAGTAGAGAAAGAAAGAAAGAGAAAAAAGTAAGAAAAAGAATGGAAGGAAGCAAGGAAGGAAGAAAGAGAAAGAAAGTAAGAAAAAAGAGAGGAAGAGGAGGAAGGAAAGGAAGGTGAAAGGAAAGATGAAGGAAGGAAATAGTGAAAATGAAATGTAATAACTAGGCGTAATAAGATTATGTTTATGTGTATTGAAATGTCTGTTACCCAGATACCACCCCATCCACGCATTGATATGTATAAATAATGTAAGAAAGAAAAAGAAAGAGGAAGAGGAGGAAGCAAAGGAAAGGAAAGGAAGAAGGAAGAGAAGGTGAAAGGAAAGATGAAAGAAAAAAGGAAATAGGGNTTGGACGTCTTCTGGTTTGCCGATCCTGCAAGTTTAGAAGACATCACTCCAATGGGCGGTCTTCTTTAACTAGGAGACTGAAACGTGTTGTCCATGCAGTGGACAGTGAGGAGGTTGGGGAGGACCAGTCCTGGAGTCTGAGGAAAGCTCAGACGAGGGCTCTGTGTTGGAGGCAGAGAGGGGGCCGAGGCCGTCTGGCAGTGAGCAGGTGCCTTCGGAGCTAGACAGCCGTGAAGCAGAGGAACAGCTGGAGCCTGTTCCCAGTGTCTGCATGCGCAGTGGTGCCGGAAGAAAAGAACAGCGGAGAAATCAGGATTGACTTAGGAGTAAATCTACAGGTGGACGGTGAATGGCCCCTCCCATAGGAAATAGAAGAGGAGCGAAAGGGGAGAGGGCTTTTGCAGGAAACAATTTGTTCGTTCAATCATTAGATTCGTTTCAGGAGTGTGAAGATCTGTGCATGAATCTCAGAGACTCTGTGCCCAGTCTTTCCTTGCTCATTTGGGAAATATTTACATGGCAGCTTCCCAAGGCAGATAAGGTCGGTGGTCATAAATACTCCTTTGAAAGACTCTTTGCCAGGCCTTGGCTGAGTGTGAATGAGAGGAATTCACATTCATTTAACAAAAGGGGTTTTGATAGGACCGGGACTCTGCCTTTTGGGGTCAGAAAATCTTGAGAGTGGGCAAAGGTCTTCTTCTAAGATCTGTTATTGTGGAGTGATGACACTAACGTAAAACCTTTCTGAAAACATGACCTAATTTTTGAGGTTGGCTTGAGGAATCTTGGCTGGTACAAGTGAAGGATAGTTGGAAGGAGCCTTTTTTTTCATTCCCAGCTGTCTCCACAGCTTTTCTCTTTAAATCTTCCTTATGCAAAACTGATACAAGCCAACTGATAACATGGATTAGGCGCCCATCTCTGTTGTGGCCCACCAGCGACCAGCGCAGCTAGTGACAGACTCAGGCAGTGTGGAGGTTGGGGAGGAACCTGGGCCAGTCCTGGAGTCTGGGGAAGGCTCTGATGAGGGCTCTGTATCGGACGCAGAGAGGGGGACAGGGCCCTATGCCAGTTATCAGCTCCCTTCAGAGTCAGACATCAGTGGGGCAGAGGAACAGCTGGAGCCTGTTCCAGTGTGCGTATGCGCAGAGTGGCCAGAGGAAGGGAGCAGCTAAAGAACAGAAGCCAACTTGGGAGAAAGGCCACAGGTGGATGATGAACAGCCCCTCCCAAGGGAAATAAAAGACGAGCGAAAGGGGAGTGGAGTTTGCAGAAGACCATTAGTTTGTTTAATTAGTGTGAAGATTTGTTCGTGACTCTCAGAGACTCCTTACAAAGCTTCTTGTACAGCTCGGCGTTTGGAAGATATCGGCCTGGCAGCTCTCCAAGCCTGATAAGGTCTGTGGTGGTCAATTCACCCTTGAAAGACTGTTTGCCGGGACTTTGCTGAAGGCGAATGAGAGGAATTCACCGTAGCTTAATAAAAAGGGGTTTTGTCGGGACAAGGAGTCTCCTTCGTCATTTTGGTTAAGCCTAAGTCGGAACAATCTCTTAACTAGCCCTTTTCCTCCCAGGTGTAGCTCTTATTTTGTTGTTACTCTGTGGCATCAGGATTATGGTTTTGGGGGTCCATGGGATAGGCTTGAGGGTTGAACTCCTTCCTTGTGCCTAGGTGGGCCCGGCGTGCATGATCCCTGCGAACGAGAGCCAACGGATGCCTTGTCTAGTGTGACTGTTCCACAAAGGGAAGCCATAACCCATAGTGCCCAGGTAAAAACGCGCCAGCCACCTAAGTTGGCCTCCTTTCCCTCCAGCAATGGAGAACGAAGGTCCTCGGGGATTAACGCCGCTGCTTGGGATGATAGGTTGAAAGCTGCCCAATCTATGGAGCAGAGATATCTTTAATGTTTGACCCATTTTCATTTCCAGCATGCCCTGAGACTGTCGGCGTTTGGCCAAATCTACAAGGTGCTGGAGATGGATCCTCTCCCTTCCAATAAGTCCTTCCAGAAATATTCGTGGTCGGGGGCCGACAAAGAAGGTAGGTGCACCTGAAAGCAGGACAAGAAGGAAGGGATGGAAACTAATCCAGGAGAGAAGCAGCCTTAGAACTAAGGAGGAATTTCCTGACACTTAGAACAATTAGCAATTAGCCCTCTCTAAGCGATTTACAGAGTCAGCATATTGCCCCCAACAATCCGGGTCCTCATTTTACCCACCTTGGAAGGATGGAAGGCTGAGTCAACCCGGAGTCGGTGAGATTTTAACAGCCGAACTGCAGAATTGCAGTCAGCTGACATAGCCTGCAGTGCTGCACTCTAACCACTGCGCCACCTCGGCCCTTTTAATTAATTAATCCGTAGAGCAACTTGCAGCAAATTGTGAAAACCCTCCATCACGAGAGGTTTTTTTTTTTAAGAAGGCACTTGACAGAAATGGAATAGAGTTTCCTGCCCGAGCAGGGGAGCCTTCCAGCTCTGTTTTTCTGTTCATTCTCGATGTCAGGGTTCCAGGAAACACCCACTGACTAAGTAAGCGTTTCCGCTTACTTAGAGAGTAGCTGATACCTGGCATTGTCTGGGTACCATATTTTTTGGAGTATAAGACGCACGGGAGTATAAGATGCAACAAGGTTTTGAAGAGGCAAATTAAAAAAAAAGTGTTTGCACTCTGCAGATCTCCCCAAAACGGCCCGTTTTTTTGCGAAAAGGGCCCTTTT